ACGGCAATTAGCCACTGTAAAATTGTATAGCAGTATTCAGTTTAAATCCTTTGTTCCAAACCTGAATTCATGCAACTGGCAGTAATTCAACATTTCGATGTAGAAAAAAGCTATTCTTAGAAAGATTTGGCTACTTATGTAGTGCTTTTTGTATGTTTTTGTGTATTCATTCCTACCTTGTTTCTGTACTTTTTGGCACTGCCATCCTTACACCACACTTAAATTTTGCCAATTTTTTTATTACTTGTGGTTAAAAGAGATGGTTTAGTTGAAGAATTAACCGAGTATAAATAAAACAAACTAGACTGGTTACAAAGGTGTTTTGCGTCTTAAGGATAAGCAATTAAGGTTAAAATTCGATACAGTTTCTTGTGTGTGTATATTCAGTCCGGTAAACATTTCAGGATTTGATTAGTATTTATAACTCTATAATTCTTTTGAATCCGAAATAGTATATTGCAACTATGAGTATAATTCAGAAAACCTAACCCCGATTGTCCCGAATAATATATTGACATTGTTACTTCCAATGGGGATTCCTTCCTCACTGTGCAATGAGCCTTTTTACATTCTTTGGGGTTTAAATAATAAATTTTTCTGGTTGTTCGACATTATTTTATTTTTCTGTCGCTTTTTCTTTCGATCTGTGTATTTAATTACAGTCTTCCTTCACTACGTTTAATGAGGCTGAATAATGCATATATCGTGGGCTAATAAGCCATGTTATCACATTTCCTAAATTTATACTGCAGGGGGCTTAGGCTCAATAATTCTCGTTAATGCAAGTACACTGCTAATTTTAAAAAAGCCATTCAGAGGAGGTTTTGTTTATTATCTAAAATATTTCGTTTGTTTTGTTTTGGTCTTTAATATTTTCCCTAACAACTTAGAAACACATTGAGATAAAGAATAGCTTCATTCCAACATACTTTAAACCAAAGAGAGGCTCAGATTTTATTTTAGAACCCTGTCCAGAAATTTCTTTAAGCCCCAGCTTAATTTTTTCCATCATCGGTGCAGTTAATGTTAGAGAGCTTTACCAGCTTATGAAGTCACCCCACGCCCCTGTGCTATACTCAATAAACCCATACTAAGTATAAAAAGTAAAGCCTTTCTCACTCTGGTTTAAGCTAATCAGACCCCTGAAAATCATATGACATAAAGAAAATATCAAATTGATATTGCAATAACCAAGTGAGTTGAATTCCTTCGACATACTAGCAGAAACCAGTGAAGCGATTATGAAGTGAATACTTCAAAATTACTACAATAACAGTAGTGAATCAAGCACAAATGAAACAAAGCACTTTAAAAGTGCTCCTCATTATTAATACTTTTTATTACTTCACCATAGTATCAAGAACAAAGCCATTGTAAGGAGAGTTCTAATGTTTTAGATGACTGTCCATTTATTTATCTCAAATACCCATTTGTTGGGAATAGAAAGGATAAAAGTATTTTAATTACATTTTTTCCAGATGACTTTAATATTTGTACACTTTGATATTATAAAATGTAATTTAGAGTGCTATTACTTCCATTATCTGGTGTACACAAACGAAAAATGCACAGCTTAAAATAAAATTAGTTATACGACGAATTCCACAAAATAACGTGAATCCAAACTTTCAGAATACTAATAAACAGTTAAGATACTAACTGACTTGTTCATTTATGTTACAGCTACTTTTAGCTAAAAAGAGTTCAACAAATAGCATAAGCTGTGTACTCTTCTTTAAATAAGACTTTAGCAAACTATAAATGAGTCTCATGATGAGCACGACTTGCTAGAGCTGGTGCAGATTGTGAAATATAGCTCTTTACAACTGTCATTTAATATATTTTTCATCCCGGGTAAAAATTCCAATTATTGAACTTGTAAAACAATTTACTTGCGTCTCTTTACCAACAAGACTTTTTATCTTTGAAAATTCTGGCATAAATAAAGAGTTTTTTATTTGGATTGTATTTGGTCGTATTTATATTTGAACTTTAGTAAATATTAATTCGATTGTAAGTAATGGAGGTAGGAGTTGTAAGTTAAATTCGCTTTGTTTTACATTTCGTAGGATTTGGATTACTTGAATCTGGTTGTGTCACCAAGAAAAATGAAGTAAACGTCATGGTGAAGAACGCCGTGGATGTCATATTTGGTGGGCTTGGTTACTGGATGTTTGGCTATGGGCTGAGCTTTGGAAAAGACGTAGGCACAAACCCTTTTATCGGGGTTGGTTCATATTTTGTGGATGCCGATGAAGAAGAGATGGGTTCAGTTTTTGCAACTTACATATTCCAGCTATCATTTGCTACAACAGCAACAACCATCGTTTCGGGAGCCATTGCAGAACGGTGCAGTTTCGTGGCTTACTGCATCTTTTCTTTTTTCAACACCGTCATATTCTGCATTCCAGCTGGTTGGATATGGGGCAATCATGGATTCCTCAGAAAGCTTCACGTGGTTGACATCGCGGGTTGCGCCGCAGTACATTTGGTAGGTGCCTCTTCATCGCTTGTGGCAGCCTTGATGTTGAAGCCTCGAACGGGCCGTTTTGATCACGGCACTGATCCACTGCCAATGGGTTCACCAACAAATGCTTTAGTGGGAATGTTTATGCTTTGGTAAGTCACCTTTTTTCATGTGAAAATATACATATAAATAAAGGCAGTTTTTGCCTAACCTCAGATCAAATGTATATTTGATGATCTAGAAGCAATTGCTTTCAACGTGCGTTTCTCTTATAAGCTAGATTGATATATAGTAGTAGGGAATTCGGTCTTTATTAAATTACAGTTTCGGTCACAACCAGTTTCAGTTTTTCTCTTATAAAACGACAATTTTTGCTTTTTTAAACCCTTTAAAGTGAAATATTTTCAAGAGACGAAGTTATGGATATTATTGCTTCAGTTTTGGTTTTAAAAATAGAACAGAAATGAACAAAAACCATTTTACAAAGTTAGAGTGCAAAAACATTAATTTTTGATTTTCCCCTTTTGAACATCTGTGTAAGGAATAAGTAACATCAACACGGTATATAAGTCAGAATCCTACAAAATGAATATATATGCACAGACACAAACATGGCACACGCATATAATTATAGTAAATTGTTAATCCTTCAGATTAACGATAATAAAAGTGACAGGTTAACTACATTTACAAACGAACAGTTTAGTATGTTTAAGATTTTGATGAGTCTCAGATAACCGCAGTATCTTAATTATTGGTATTGGAAATAATAAATATTTCCTTGATTTACATAGTAGTGAAATATAAGAATTCATTTCCGTTGAAGTCTGTAGAATAATAACGTTAAATAAAGATTTGTTTTTGCTGTTTGTTATTAAGCACAAAGCTACACAAACGGCAATCTGTGTTCTGCCCATCACGGGTATCGAAATCCGGTTTCTAACGGGATAAATCTGCAGACATATCGCTGTGCCACTGGGAGGCTAAATAAAGATTTTAAACTGCTTGATCGACTCCAAATGTTATAACAAGGCAGTTACAGAGAATACAATGAAGTAGCTAAGTACGAGAAATACATTTATGATTATTGTATGACAACTGTATAATGTTTTACAAACACTGACATTAATACAGTCATCGACAAGTGAAAAAATCCTGCTTCGTTGATCTTCTGTGAATTTAAAGTTATATTAATGATATCATATTATTTAAATAAATTATAAATCTAGTTATCAAATAGACACAGTTTGCTCGTGGTAAATGTATTCACTTGTTACCTACGTTATTCACTGCTTCCATTTAAACAATACCCACATTTTTGTATATAAATCTCAGCATTTATATATTTCGTTTTGACAAAGAATTAGTGCAACAAGAAACTAATTAACTATTGAATCTTATTATGTATCACACACATTGATATCTACTAATTAAGTAACACACATTTTCTCTCATACTCTTGTT